ATGATCATTCTTCACTTTCATCTACAACCGCAGTTCATATATGAATTATTTCATATAAACTTCACATCAAAATTGTATTAAGAAGATTCCTACATGTATATAATAATTAAAGTGACTGGGAAGGATACAGTGGTTATGTCATTACATTCAGGAAGTTTATTTTTGAAAACTGTTTGTTAAAAGGTTATTATGGTGGAGACTGCACTCAAGCCTAATGACTGGGTATCAGACTGGCACTCACTGACTGGTTTCAAAAGTGTGAAGCTACTAGGAGTATCTCTATGCGCTGAAGAGTGGGATACAAGTCCATTGTAGGGTTACCCCCCGCATTAAAATTGCTGATACCCATTTATATACCTCAGTGGAGAGAAGCACTTTGAGAGTGAAGTGCCCTGCCTAAGAGCTTATCACAATGGCCCTGGTAAGGGCTTGAAGCCAGGTTACTCAATCTTGAGTCCTAGCATACTAACCTGTAGGCCACTGTGTCCCTAACAAGAAGTTCATTACCTGACATTAAATCCAATGTATTTATGCAAAAAACTGATTTCACACTTTTTAACTTGTGCAACATTTCGTAGAGGCATCCTAATGTCAGACAATGAATTGCCCATTAGTAAGGAAACAGTAATTCCCTGATCATCATACTGTACCACTGGATATTACAGGGATAAAATTTAAACAGTGTGTTCAGAGAGATCTTTATTTTAATAGGCTGCAAATAATTTTTCTATCCCAAAATTTGTAATCACGATTTTATTTGTTTTCAGCATTGGAAATGAAAACAGTCAAACAAACTTTGGAATTGCAAGAGAATTTGGTAAGAATCAACAACTTACAACAGTCTTAACTGTTTACAGACACTGATTAAAAATTATAAAATTTAGTTGCTGATGTAAATAAATAAAAATTTTAATATGTTAATTATTTTATTTTAAAAGTTCCAAGACATTCACGACAGTGTAATAGCCTTGCATGGAATCCTGTTGAGAGTAATTTGGTAAGTACAGTAGAACTCCAGTATTACAGTAACTGGACCTAGTGGAGTACAATTCAGGGAGTTCTCATGTGAGGAATTTCAAAATCAGTGGAGTGCACAGTGCAAGGTTGATTTTAAATTACAATGATCATGATTGCTCTCCGAGTTGTAGGACATGAGATTCAATTACTAATTAATCGTGTCAATAAGTTAACAAATTTCAAAATTAAAAAAGGATTTTGGAAACTTTGTTGAGTAGAAAAGTCTGTAGTGCTGTCCGTAAGTTTCAAAAACTGTAGGAAACACTTAGAAGGAAGCCATTAAATCGCAAGTAATTGACATGCAAATGGCATAGGTATCCAATTATATCCAGGTATAATATGGTATAGTATCCAGGTATCCAACACCCATGTGACCAGACACGAATTACCCAACAAATAGGAGCACAGAGAACCAAGTAATATAATAATAAATATATAATTCACCAAAACATTAATTTCAGCTAGCTGAACTCATCCAGATATCCTGGAAGTTTGTTTCTGACATCAGTCATGTTCATCGCCTTCAGCTTCTTCTTCACCTGACTCCACATTCCTTCCATCATGTTTGAGTGAACTCCTGTGCATAGACTGGTAAAGTTCTCCAGAGGGTTAACCATGATGTGGTTCAAACATGCAAATGCTCCATGACCAAATACCATTTACTGCTCAAAACCCAAATTTATCTCAATCAAGGAAGCTTGTTTACATGTTGATTGAGTGAGCAAATGTCTCAGCAAGCAGCTCCAAGTGATAACAATCTACACAAACTGCATGACATGCTTGTGATGGGGTGTTGACGTGGTGATGACATGTTAATGGCTTTTTAGCCATTGGGAATTTTCTGTTTGTGGAGAAACGGGAAATTCAATTTCTGAAGTCCACAGATCATCTATTTTAGTCTTCCCCCAGCTGCACCCCCTTTATTTTGGCTCATTCGTATCTCCTACAGTAAATATTTTGCTTGCAATCTGTGCGATTCAAGACAAAATAGAAGGGCTGGGGACAGACTATGAGTAAAGATAGGTTTTATTTCTTCACAGCTGGCAGCTGGACTAGACAAAGTTAGAAATGATGTTTCTCTTCTTGTCTGGGACATTAACGTTCAACTCAGTGAGTAAACTTACCGTTTGAACTTAATGTGCTTCAAGGACTTAGGGATTACATAAACTATTGAATGATATGAATTGGATTATATATACTGTGGGTTGATAAAGCAACTAATCTACATGACACAATACATTATCAAATTATTAATTAAATGGTGCACATGTCACAAGTTTGGGATGCATTTTCATGAACATGTCTTGATTACTTCTCAGGCAATGTCTAGTTACTCTTAATGGCAAGCATTTCTTACAGAGGACAATAAAGTCCAAACCTTGATACCAGTGAGAAGTTGTATATTTCCAAGAGTATTTCAAGACAACGCGGGTGCTTGTATTTATAGCTGTCTGGATTCTGAAAATAGTTAGCTTGCATGAAGTATTTAATTAAAAGTCATTGCACATCCATGTACACATTACATTATAAGTTGTATATCTCCCATTTGGATTATTTTGTTGTCAGGTGTTAGAGAAAGTGCAAATCAAGAAAAAAGGTTGGTGTTCTATTTTTCAACTTTTTGGTTCAACTCTGTGATCAACTGCCACTGCTAAAACAGGTTCTGATCAGAGTTTTTCCTGGCATTGATTTCAGGCCTTGTCTCTGGTACAAAGTTCAGATAGATCAGATAAATAAACAATATCCTCCATTTGGCTCGGAAATATGCTTGGATATTTGTCCGCGGACATTATTTGTTCCGAGAAGTGAACAGTTTTCTGAGAGTGTAGCTTGAGGAAAACTGTGAGCTTTGAGGAACAGATAATGTCCAAGGACAAATATGCAAGCATATTTTCGCGCCAAGTGGAGGCTATTGTGTTTATTATCCTTGAAATATTTTTGCAACACACGCAGTTTTGAAAATTGGGGAATATCACTCGGATATTCCCCAGTTTTAGCTGCGGAACATTCAGTCACATGCCACATTTAAACCAATCGCGTGTGAGCAAAAATATTTGATGGATTATAATATGTAGTATATGAACAATCAGTTAAAACCATAGTAAAGTTTATTTAAGAAATAAAAAACATGTACCGTGTTTCTATTTAGTCATAGAAACACTAGTGGAAGTTTGGGAGAATGACAAATGCTGTGGGCACACGAGCCACAGGCGAGTGTTTCCACAGTTTCCAAACTTTCACGAGTGTTTCTATAACTCGATAGAAACACAGAGAACATGTTTTCTATTTCTTTTAGAAAACACCACGATGAAAAAAAGGTAAACAACTTGCTAACGCTGATTATCAAAATGTAAATTCTCTTTGCTTATGCCATCATTGCGTCAACAGCTCATGCTACTTGAGTGTTTCTATCGAGTTATAGAAACACAATTTTTAACCAATCAGCGCACATATTTTCTTAGGACTGTTTTCTGAATAACATTTTTAACCAGATGATGAGTTACGCTACACTAGTTTGAATTTCTTGTTTGCTTAGAAAAAACTAGCTTGACTTGACATATTAAATAATATTTCACATTTTTCTTGCATTTTGATTGGTTCTTACTGTTGATCTATTAAAGACTGATGTATGGATGAAATCTTTTAATTTTTTGTGGTTTGTTTGTTCTATAAAACAAATAGATTCCTTGTTGCCATGCATCTGTTCAGTAACAGATTACAGAAGACATCAAAATGTGGTCAGAACATCAGTGACCAACTTGCCTAACGGCTTGTGTGCCACTTTTTAAAGTTTGTTCTTACCACATTTTCAGGTCATCCATGATCTATTACTGAACAGAAGCATGGCAACATGGAATTTATTTGTTAAATATATGGTGGACTGAAACAAACAGAAAGTGACCAATCTAAGCTGTCAGTGTCTGCAAGAAATCTGAATACAGCTCAGTTAAACAGACTCAAGGGACAAGTATTAATTGATGGATTGTTTCCACTTGAAATGTGATATATCCAATATTCCATTGATTATAAACTAATTCAGCCTGAAAGAATACACTCTTGATACCTAAAGTGAAGTGTTTTAATATACAAGTTTCTTTCACATACTTCTTGTAGACATTCTGGAGTGACTGGTGGTAAACAGTCTCCCATCACCGTAGGAACAGGCTTCCAGGACCCGTCAGCTATAGGAAACAGACCTCTTGCAGAACTCTGTAAGCTGCTGTCATATCTGCTCGATTTGTTCACGGAACATTGCTTATGTTATAATTGTATTTGCTAGTTATTTATAAGACATTGAAATCTAAATGATCAGCACTAAATATGCTCTATGGGTAAACTGGCTCTAACATCGCAATTTTTTAGCATGTGTAATCCAAAATTAATTAACTGGACAATGATCAAAACTACAGCAAATACTGAAAAGAAATTGCAAGCAATGCAATTAAACTGACTCCGTTTCAGTTATTGACATCATTTTGGTTTTGGTGTTCAGTTGCTTGTGTTTCATTTCACTGTTAGGAACTTGTTGTTCAGTTCAGGTTTATAACTTCCTTTAAAAATGTTGGGTTTGGAGACCCCGACCCCCTGGGAATTTCCAGTGACCTTCCATGAGATGGGCACGGATATTATCTGTCAACAATGTCCTGTTCCGTTTCATCCTCTGGTGACTGAAAAGCATATGGATACATTTTAAAATTGATTTTAGGAGTAGAGTTACAGGTAGTAACTTTATTATAAACTTTAATGTGGATTGTAGGCCCAATGGACCTACCAGCTTCAATCAATTCACCCTCTGGGACTAAATAGTGATGACTTTTTCTGCAGCCATAACCTGAGAAATGACTTGTTTTAGGGTGCAATAATATATATTATTAGATTCATTTAGGATTGTGTTGTAATGTGCCCACTTGATAGTTCGCGTGCATTTTTATATTGCTGCATCTTACATCAACTAGTGTATATCTTGTAACAGTTCTGATCCCTTGTTCAGTTGCATTGATGAAGTCTTTGCTAAATGAAGACGAAACATCGGCAAGTCATATTTCAGTAGTTGTTGTATTATTAAAATTGATTGATATAGAGTGAATAAATTATACGTCAAAATTCAATCAAGTAACAACCCCCTGGATCTTCTGTTCAGTGCACTTTTAGATCTGCTAATTCTGAATTGTTTTGTTTGTTGTTTATACGCCTGAAGCTACGTCAGACCCAACTCTTTCCCTGACATGGTCACCCAATGATCATAACAAGTTAATTACTGGACAGGCACAGAAGTTTCTGAGAGTGTTTGACATACGAGGTGGGTACATTACATCTGTATTGATTTCACATTAACCTACCTGTAATGAGGTTACTAACATACATGTGTACTTGCATGTAGAGTCGACAATATGCCTTATTCTTACTGATTTTTGATGTACTTAATTTCCAGTATTTGTGTTTTGGGAAAAATGCTGTTACTGAAAAAAGAAATGACCTCCTTAGTGTCTTGAAGTACCTGTACACAAAGTAAATGCTCACATGATAGTTATCAAAGTCCTAAATACTCAAACAACATTGGATTTGTTTTTATTTAATTTAAAAACATATCAGCTTAATTTGATGTTTATGGTCAAATATCAAAATTGGAGGATTTTTTGTTCCGTTTGTGTGCCTGGTTAACAAGAGTTATATTTCCAACTACTTACACTGTATTCTAGATATAACATTTTATGTTTCTTAAAAAGCTCCATGTAAATGGAATCACTACATTGGTGGACAAAAGTCCTTGGGACACGGAATCAGATCTAATGCTGTGAAATATTTATGTTTTACAACTAAAGCTAGAAAAAGCACTGCTATCCTTTTAAAAATACGGTGCTGTCCCCTCTCCTCCACAGAATACAATGTTGAAACTCAGGAGAAATTGCAGGTACTAGAGTTCAACATTGTAGTTAGGGTGTGTGGATGGGCTGGGCATGTGTAGTTGTATTTGCACATGACTGTGTGTTTGGCATGTGTGAAAAAGTGGCAAAAGTGCAAATTTGTCCCAGGACTTTGTCCGTGATGTTAAAAGTGTTTTTTTTTTTGTAGACACTACTGGCCCTCATAATGCAGCCGTTACAAAAGCAGTTTACGGTGTGTGTGTTGACCCGCATGATGGACACAGAATTGCCTCATTTGCAGAGGTGGGTAATGTTACAGTAGAACAGTCCCAATACTTGTAATAATTATGTTTATTTATAATAACCCAAAGATCGCAAAAGATCACCTTTTGTTTCTGAAGATTTTCCAATATTATTGGAAGGTTTGCAATCACTTTGGAAAACTCTCCAAAGACAGGGTTGCGATGGTCAGCAAAAAGTCAGGGAAAATTAGATTTTAGACAAGGTCAGGGGAAAGTCAGGGAGTTTCATATCAGGTCAGGGAATTTCAAAATCCCTTTTCAAAGTCATGGAATTTATCTTAAGGTTGCTGGAAATTATTTTATTAGATGTTTTCATATAGATAAGGCAATTTTGCAGTAATCACATGACCTTTCTTGTGCACTTTGGAATACACAAGTACTCTAACTAATAAGTGCAATTATTGCAGCAATCAAAATCATGTGATTACCTGTACAACTTAAGTGTGCGTGTTGTGTGCATTATATGTTATGATTGTAATTGACTTAAAATCTTTCTTTGTCATAGGGTCCCCCTGGTATTATGTGTATCTGGGATGACCGGAATTTTGAAAAACCAGTATCCTTTTTTCATGATTTGCATGTACATGTACTTAATAAATGTGATTGAAAAAAAATCAATATAAATTAGTCTCTGAGGTGTTCACCAAATGTATTATCTTTACCCATTACATGGTACAACAACAAGAACAATAATCTTTATTTTCTTTCATTTTAAAATTATATGTTATTTGGCACGCAGATAGCAAGTACTAATCTAGGCAGGCCATTAATCACTTATGCATTTATAACTAGGTTAATTAAATAACAATAATAACAACATGGCTTAGTGAACTGAATTTTATTAACATTATGGGGTGAGTCAAATTATACAGATTTATCACCGGGAAGTTATCCAGTACAGCACTGTTAATGCTGAAATGCTCAAAAAAAAAAAAAATGTATATTGATGCAGTCAAATGTTTTCTTTAAAGCAAGTTGCAAACTGGGAGATTGTGGGTCGCACGTGTGTTTATTATATGGCTAGCTCCATGAGCGGGCAAGGTGAATCAAATCCTGCACTGTGATTGGCTACTCAAGCGGGCAAGATGGAGCTATCCTGCCCACTCGGGACTACCCGCTGTGTCCCGGAAGAAAAATTTCCCTGAAAGCCGTATAATAAATCCTTTGTTGACCAAGCTTATTCGGTCAAGATGCAAGTTTATGGACATCAACTCCGTCTCGGTCCACAAACACACAAAAAAAGAACTTGGCCAATATCCAGCCATCTTGACCTCACACTTGGTCAGTAACACATTTTATGTAGTGGAGGATGGAGTTGCATTGATTCTATGTGGAGCCAAGATAGAGTTCTGTTCTGATTTTTTAAGACTTTCACTGTTGCCTGGATGGAGAGAAATAAAAAACAATCATGTCTTTTGATGAGTGGCTGGGGAAATTAAAATGACTTGCTTAGAGATGGGGTTGGAGATGCCTTTGTTGTGATTTTTTATGTGTGTTAAATGTTTGTGTAAACAAACTTCTGGTCTTCGTCGCTCTCACTGATGTAAAGCATTGTGCACAGAGTGTAAGTTATTAGATTGTATTGCAACATGTGCAGCTGAAATGATGAGTGATTTTGACTGAGCATTGTGCTTGTTTGTGGTCAGGCTTGTATGCCAATGTTTTATCTCCTTAACATTATACAGTTAATGACAATGACTCAGACCTGTCCTGTAACAGCCATTGCATGGAGTCCAACACGATCTGGCTTACTGGCGACACTTGGTAAAGAAAGTCCTGTTGTACAGCTTTACGACATTCAACATACTTCAGTTGGTAAGTACGACATGTATAGTCAAGTTGATGTGTTGACTGTTACTAAAATCATGTGCAATATCTACACTTTACAAACTTTGAATTTCTTTATTGTTTATTGCTTTAGAAAACCACTTGCTAAAAGCTGCACTTCTATTTAACAGTTAGATTATGAGTTCAAGATTTTTCTTGTGCGATAGTTGACGAGGGTGCAGCCCAAGTCAACTGTCATGCATAGATATTAAGAGCAAATAATCTAATTGTTGTAGTATAAATCTACTAGTCATTCAAAACTTTATCTAAATTCTCTTTCCAGACACTTTAAAAGCGTAAAGAAGCAGCTGTCATTTTGTTAACAAGCACTCACTGCTATGCTGCTCACTATCTACAACAGAATAGATAGTGAGTAGTGTAGCCAATCAGAGCTACAGTGCTATAAGTGATAGAACATTGGTAGATTTATACTAAAACTCAAAAGGAATACAGAAGATGTTTTACTTCTTAAAATGATAAAGACAAAGAAATATTCAGTCAGCAATTCTTGTTTAGGACTAATGAAAAGAAAACATCAAAAGCGCTGTTAGCATTTTATGATGATTTCTTCCCTGTTATTTGTTGTTGCAGCATCTCCAGCTTATGGAGTTGGATATGAGACAGAGCCTTCATTCATAGAAAGNAATCAAGACTTGTAGTTTTATTTATTGTCCTACTAGTAGTTTTTTGTCAGACAAACCTGGCTTAACACACTCGAAGTTGAGTTGAAATGAACTAGAATCCCATGCTGGGAAAGTGGTGACAAATTGCTCAACAAAACAGCTGAGTTAAGACAATATGCACACTTAGTGTATTTGTTGTTGTTGTTTTTTTGCACCCTGGCATGAAAATGTTTTAGACATGCAATGTAGATTAGTCTAAACTAGTTTTGTCTGGAATTGCATTACAAGTATGGAATGAAACACCACACCCTAGCTCTATATAATTTTATTTGCTTACTTTTGCAGGACTGGTACAAGACTGTACAATTTTTGAAAGAATATCAGTAGTGAGTAAGCTTTATTCATTCCATGTGTAACTAGTCAAATCTAGTATACTTGTGTTGTTGCTTTTCCTTCATTATGGTCAATTTTTATTTTGATTAGTGTCATCTTGTTTATTTTTATTTTTTCTCTAGGCTTGGTCCCCTAGCTCACACCTTACTTGGGGGTGTGGAAAACATTTATTGGAATGTTCACAAAAGGTCAGTGTTCATGTGATGGATGTGATTGCTATGTCAGGCATATTATCCTGAGGTCTGCTGGTTGTGATTGCCAAGACTCAACAGGCCATTCTTTGCAAACTTCACAGTAAGAGATAACAACATTCTCTAAACATTCACTTTGATCACAGAATATTGCATGATAAGCAAGCTTGCAGAAATGGAAAGAGCATATTGAAAATAGCAAATTTGCAAAGTTTGAGGCCCCTGGCATTGAAGAGTAAGTTTATGTGACAGTTTAGAGGATGTGAATAAAAAATGTTGCCAGTGAGCAAGGTCTTTTTCTGCAACAACTTTTCCATACAAATCTTCTTAATCTTTTACAAATTCAAACCGTCATAAAATCTCATTCTTTAGTGATGGGGGCCTCAAACTTTCTTTTTCGATAATTATTTTCGACATGCTTTTTCCATTTCTGGCAATCTTTAAGTTATAGTCCATAATTTTATGAAAAGTAGGTGGCATGATGGCCTAGCTGCAAAGGACCTCTTAATTGGTATTCATCGACTCAATGCACCCTTCTAATTTCTATCGCTCCTGGATGCCCTGAATCACGCAACTTAAAAGTAGGATAAATTGTCACACAATATGACTGGAACTTTCATGCCTTTCACGACAAACCCTGGTGCACTGTTAAATATTTGAGTTCAAATACATCCGATAGTGTTACGTTCAAACTATTTAAAACTTTGTAACTTATTTTGTTCATGTCATAGCCTGCAGAGCTGTCTCTAGAAGAGGACATTTCATTGAAAATGAAGAGAAGAGCATTTGCTGGATATGGAATTGAGTTCCATAAGGTGAATAATAGTAATAAATTTGGCTTCGGTCACGAAGCTGTCCTAAATAGCCATGATGTATCTCCTTACTCAGTCTGACAGGCTAGATATTTTGTGACAAGGTACCTTTGAATTTTCTTAATGACGTCAGTTGCTAATTTTATTGGTATATGAAGACAGATGCTGCTTGTAGATAAGACTAGCCTGTTCAGGCTCTCTGTAGATGGGGACAAGGAAAAAAAAAAAGGGCGAGTAAGAGAAAAACGAGAGAGGACTAGAAGTGGAATGGCCTTCCCTTCCTCGCTTAAGTTCCCCTCGTGTTTTCTCTTGTTTACCCTCTTTTTTCACTCATCCCCAACTACTGAGAGCGTGGAACAGGCTAAGATAACACTCAAAGGAATATATGGGAGCAAACTGAAAATTTATTAACCAGGCCAAGAGTGACCCAGTTCTGGCAATGGGAAATGCTTCTGTTTTTTAGGTCATCACAAGTACAAAAAAGTAGGAAACAATTAGCGTTACAACTGTCCCAGTTGATTATAAAACAGTTCCCTGAAACATCGCTAGCCAAAAAAACAGCAACCCAGTATTTCTCTCTTTATGGACCAAAACATCTCAAGCCAGCGATAGAAAAAATAATTCCTGATTCTCATCACTTATTAATCATTGAGCGACCAAGCGATTGCAATTTTAACTGCTTACAGCTTTCAATACTCTGTGCAAAAGCTGCGGGAGGTACTCCCAGAAAAATTGGGTGGGGATTTGCGGCCCACTTCCCGAAACCCTTTTTCTATTTATGACCAACATCTGCGATTTTCCTAACCCCATTACCATGTTGCACGAAATTTTTACTAGGCTCGATTACCAGCTGCTGTTCAGGAAAGGAGCCCACACTCCTTCCCCAAAGCCACAGCTGGATGCCTGAGGGTACTTTTGTTAGTCTTAGCCAATCAGATAACAGCCAGTAGATTTTTGTCGTGCATAAATTATCTCATCAGATCGATGGTAGGCTCTATTACCAGCCACTGTTGGGGAAAGGAGCCCGCTTTCCTCCCACAAAAACTTTCTCCGCCAAAAATCTACTCCTGGGGTGAAATTATACATACAAACCTCACATGTAGAATCTTGATGCAATTTAATTAAAACACTACAGGTGTAGCTACTAAAAAGTTTACAGAAGAGGATTGTCCAAAGGTGCTTTCAGCCACATGTGACTTTCTCAAGATCGCAAAAATTGATACCCAGCTCAAAAAACTCAGTCTTTCACAATAATATTGCAAAATTTAGTCCCTGCAAAATACTGAAATATGGCTGATCTGCAAAATTAAACTCCCGCAAAAATTTAGGCTCAATTTGTGGCACAGTATCAAGTCCGGTCTACGTTCCTCCCCGAGAAGGAGGAACATGGGCTTCAGTGTGCAAGGCAGGTTAGGTGTTTGACAAAACAATAGGTTGGTCATGTTGTCAATATAGTTGTGCTAGTGGGGTTCTTTTACTATCTGCTGTATCCTNACCAACCAAACCAAAGAGGGAGGGAAGGGGATATGAATCTGCAACTACTGTACACAATAGCGATTGATCGATTGATTGATTGATTGATTGAAGTAATAAGCAATAATGGATCTGCAAATTGAAAACCCTGATGGGCCACACCACAGGACACATATCCTTAAGGGGTAAGGTTCACTTTGTAATAGAATTTAGCCACATAAAAAATGTTTTCATTATGGAAGATTAGTTAAATTATTATTATGTAACTATTATCCTGCTTAACTTCCAATTATGAATTGTCGCGAGAGTATGTATTTTTACTTTTTTGTTATTGTTTGACAGCTGTTTGTGCTCGAAGCAAAGCTGACCTGTATCAAGAACAGCGTCTTGTAGCCCCGGTGTATTTTAGTGATGAGAGGTAAGATTTAAACTAGCTTACAAAAACGTTTTTTAAGTGTCCTGTCAAACTTGTTTGGGGGAAAATACAGTGTAGTTAGTGTGACACTGTTACTGGCCTACCGGTAGTAAGTGCTCTGATTTAAAGTGCATCAGCATGTAAGCCTCCTGAAGCATTTGACTGCAGGCAAGCCTCTTGCAGCTAATTTGTAGTTAGTCCCAGACTTTCAAAAACAAATTCTAAGTAGCTTGTGTCATTGACAAATAGAATTGATAAAGATTGTTGTTACTTCTTGCAATTGTAGAAGGCTGGCTCTTTCTCTCTGTGGATGGGATTTTAAAAGTACTGGTGTCCCTCTGACAGAATATCTCAATGAGTAAGTTCAGACAAGGAAAACACACAGTAATAAAATATATCACATGAAGCTCACTAAAAGCAGAGTTTGGCTTCACTGTGAAGTGCTTGTAAAAATTTAAGTCCTTCTATATAATCACTGTTCTTTTCATAACCAAACCATGTTTAGATTCTTCATACAGTGTTAAAGGAGCATGGTCATGGTATTTTGACTTAATTTAGCCACATTCTAAATTACCTTTAAATTGAAGAAAACCTGCAAACAATAGTTTACTAAGATAGAAAAATACTATAGAGATAATAATAAACCATAAAGAAACAAGGATGTTTAAGGATGGAGACGATTGACATGGATTACAAACGACAAACTTAACAATTTTATGCTAAACTTTTCAAGATGCACAAACCGTGGCATAGTTCCTTTAAGACATAGTTAAGCAAACAGTTGCCAGTATTTAGATGTAAGAAAATGGACAGCCAGACAATATTGACTGTATGTATCACCAATGTAAGAAAAATACGCAGCTTTCATAAATTAAAATTGAAATAAAGATTAAGACATGCTTTTTGTGTTTCAAGAAATGCATGTAGTCTGTAGCAATGTAATGTCATTATCGCCAATGTGGTTTTCAAAATTAATTGAGAACATACTGATCTTTTGTTTTTGTGGTGTGTTTGTTTTAAACAGGCTGCAGGCAGCTGAACAGCATGAGAGAGCTGCAGCGGTGGCACTTTTCAACAACAAGATCCGAGAAGCTATTGAAATACTGAGCTCACAAAAAGCGAATAAAAATACGGGAGGTAAAGGTGAGGTGTTGGTTTACTTCTGCAGTTGGTAATCTTTCATGCTTCAGGGAGACTGCCTTTGTTTAGACAGAATTTCAGCATGACTGGGTCTCTTTAGTTACAAACCACAACACACATTAAGTTTGTTAAAACCAGTCAAATGTTACATACCAAACCAAGAGACTTCAGCTTGTTCTTTTCTATTCCTTCCCATTCTAGTCTTGTTGAATTTGAGGTTTTACAAAGGTCCCTTTTTTGAAGGATGCAACATGCTCCAAATTTAGCAGTTCAAGGTCACTATGTTGTGTTCTTCTGCATGACACTACACATCAAAGTTCCTTTGCCCACCAAGGAGTATGTATAATCAGGTACCAGCAAAAAGTTTGGGAAGCCTGACAGAATGCTAGGGAGAAACCTGTGATGGACTAGGCTTGCATCCTGTGTATCCCTGAGTAACTGTTCTCTTAGCTGTTTTATTCTTAAGAATTCAGAGCTGTTAAGCGCCAAGACCTATGACGCAGCTAGGCTTAAAAGGCTTCACTACCCTTTCATACAGTGGAATTCTGATTTTCCAGCTGTCAACTTTTCAAACCTCCCAATTATTTGAACCAATGTCGTTCCCTTGACAAAAAAGTCTTAATAATATAGATTTACCCAATCCTTGGACACCCAGGGGCAATCAGTAGGGGAGAGGGAAAGTCCAAACAATGGAAAAACATTGGCACAACTCTCTCTTTCCAAAGTTTTTCCTGTTGTTTTGACTTTCCCTCACTCCCACTGACTGCTCCTGGGTCTCTGAGGATGAATGTACTCTAAAGTTGTCAAGTCTCCTGACTTTCCAACCAATTTCCATTCCCCTTGGTGGTTCAAAAATTCAGGATTCTGCTGTATGTAATATAACTTTTTTTTACCAATTTACTTTTACACAACCATTCAGTGTCTGATCCTTTATTTTGTCTCATCAGGTACAACACTGAATGTGGTTGCCATGGCACTGTCAGGTTATACAGAAGAAAAGAAGACTCTCTGGCGAGATATGTGCAGGTCATTGTGTGGTCAGGTGGGGTAATCATTACAACATTAGCTGATTACTGGATGTCTCTAAAAAATGCTTATTTAATTTTTAAAAATTTTTAGGCTGCCAAATCACTTTGCTTGAAAGTAGTAATGGTATAGCAGTTTTTCAGAAAGCTGCACAGATAACTGAGCATGCAATGTGCATATACACACACCTGAAAGTTGAAGACATGTGTTTTGTATTGTAAGAAATGCATGTGGTCATGACAGCATTGTACATAATTATTGCATATTCCATTCAGTGATGTCAGTGGTTATCACATAGAAATTAATGTAACATACCGGTACATGTTAAGTAGGTTTGACATAATTAATTCTCTTTTTCAAGCATTAGGGTGTGTGGTTTGGTTGTCTAATGTTTACCACATCGGTATGAATCATTCCATTCAAGTTTCTCCTTCCACTGCAAACTGTTAAAACCATAACTTAAGTAAAATGCATGCTCTGATTGGTTAATTTGGTGTCTTTGTTTGTGGATGCATGCTGACAATAACTAGCACATGCTCAAGTCACATTTTGCTTAATATGTTACTGTGTAGGAGTGAAGGGTGAACACACACTGTTCTAAAACAATGGCACATAAGTATTACTGAGTTATGGATACACTTTGGAGGTGTGATAGCACTAAACAGTCTAGAATCACTCTTGGTTATCGCCTCAAGCAACTCTCACCCTTCTTCCATGCTTACCAACATCACGCATGTATTCACATGCTTGGGAGGTGTGATAGCACCAAAGATTCTAAAAAGTCTTGGTTATTGCCTAAAGCAACTCTCACCCTTCTTCCAAGCTTACCAAGCTCACACATGCATTCAAAACTCAACAGTGCATGCTGCATCATTAACCACTAGGGTGGCCTGACTTTAAATCTGGGTGGGTACTAGTGGGAATAAAAATCTTTGTAGTCACTTCTTGCTATGTCCGTTTTGGAACCCAGGATTATAGGCTATGGTAGACCAATGAAGGATAAAAGTGAAGAACAGTTCCTAGAGAAATCTGTCATCCAACAGTCACCTGAGAAATTGCTAATTGTGGTTCAACTGACAAAATGCTTACGGTTGGTTTACGGATAAACAGCTCAGGTTTTGCCAAATGAACATCAATAGTTCATCAACTATCATTGTGAGGAGCTGTAGTTTCAAAACACCTGATGTAGGTTCTCCAATTTTTATGTGCACATCAAAGGTGTTAAAAAATAAGCATGAAGCAGTCTCATGATCTTGTCTAAGCTGTAAGTTTAAGTTGATCTATTTATATTGTAGATGGAGAACCCTTACCTTAGATCAGCATTTGCTTTTCTAACCACAGAATCTGATCACTTTGAGAGCATTTTGGTGAGTGAGTTACTGCCTGTCTTCTGTAAGTTATTTTCTTATGATATCATCCATAATGATTCAATTACATCAAAACTTATGGGCACCACATTCTGCACAAATAAGGATATAGTATCAGCATCTGCATACATCTGCATACATAGGGGAGGGGGGGGGGGCTGCAAAGGAATATACCCATCACTGCAAGACTAAAGGATAAAAAAAAGGTGAGATAAAAAAACCTAATATATACATACTTATAGGAAAACCTGAAATCATAATTAAACTGTTGCAAGAGCAATCCTCAGTGTCTGAATTTCAAAATTCATGCCAAAGAACTTGCTGGAAAGACACTTACCTTTGAGTAGATTTGCCCAACAATCAGTGTCATTATTGTGTTTTAAGTCAGTGGTGGTTGCAAATTATTAAATACAGCATATATTTTCATTAAGGCTGAGGAAGGAATGGAAATTGAGGACAGAGTAGCTTTTGCATGCAAATACCTTCCTGACAATAAGGTAAGTTAAGCTTGTAATGAACAATAGCCTGGCTTCATGCAATCACCTAGATATCAGCAACAGATAAATAAGTGGATAGCATTGTAGAAGTCAAAAACTTGGACCAGCACAGGGCTGGAGAATAGAACTGCGACTAAAATGTCACAACTTCTGTCAAACAGCTATACTTAGTTGATACTTAAAAAAACACTTGAGCTGATCAAAAAAATTGTTGCACACCACAGAAACCATTTTATTTCCAGTCGTAATGTTCCAAGTTAAGGCTGAAGCTTATCTGTGCCAAAAAACATTCAGCAAATAACAACTTTCTTAAGCTACTGTTATAAAGACCATAAATGAACAATTATTGGAATTTCTTTGGCAAGTGTTTTACCTCCTTCATTTGTAAAAGAGACAATCTACTTGTTACTGTATGTCCTTGCTGCTAGACCTTTTTCAGTAACATATTTTGATAATGGATCTGCATTCTGTTGGAAAATTTAACAGTTATTCTTACTGGCTATTGAATATTTCAGTTGCTTCAATTCCTTGAAAATTTGTCCACAAAGTTGAGTAATGCTGGTGATTTAGATGGCATCCTCCTAACAGGTGATGATCACGTTTCTTTGTGGTTCGCAATTTGTAAAACATTTGGCATAAAGAATTGTGGTGCTTACAAGCGGTATTCCCAGGCAACAATGTTATTATAGACTTTTCACGTAACAGTTCAGGCAGAGTCCAGTTTTGTATAGAACTTTCGGAGAAAATTCTAAATTTTTGGTGTATGCACAGATCAATGACTTCACATTACATGTACGTAGAAAAAAAGTGAAGGCAAATGCCTTTCAGTCAAACAAGCCTAGGATTTGTGACAGAGTATGTAGAGATTACCAGTACTGAGAGAAAATATATTTTACCACAATCGCTACTAATTTCGCAATCTGATTGGCTAATTTGCCATTGTCAATAAGAGTCCAGACAACACTGCTTGCATCAGTGTGTCGTGCCCTTGGTCACGCTCTGAAGAAAACATTTTCTTTGACATTGATATTGTGTGTTGATATTGTCTTTGACGCTGGTATTGTGTTTGACCATTGTGATGACGCATATCGTTGTTGCTGAGAGTACAGACAATGCTAAACCACAGTTGATTTGTTAATAATATCCACAAAGACTATCAGAACCACTAACACTACCCATGAAGTCCAGTGAGACTATTCCTTGCTTATTTTTTAACAGTTCTTTCAATGGCAGTTGTTTTAATTAAATTATTTCCGTCTTTACTTTTTTACTAGGAATTTCATCTGATGGAATTAACTTGCTTGAGAAGTATGTAAATAAGGTAAACATATTCATTTCGTTTCTTATCTCTTTTAATAATTTTCTATCTAGGCAGTGCACTATGAGTAGAGCAATAATGAAATTAATGCTAATTGCTCCCTTATACAAGAAAATCATAGTTTACTTTCATTGAGGTAATAAATATCCTGCACATACTACTTAACTTTATATAGAGATCAGCGTTTGTGGCAATTAAGTACCTTAAATTTACATTACTTCAACAGAGATGCCAACTTTAAAAAAAATCAAAATCCAGGACCCTTGACCCTTGAAAGTAGTAACTATTTTCAAGGGTCAAGATGGTAAAATCAGTGATCTCCTGGATTTTGATATTTTAAAGTGCCTACTGGAAGCTTCACTCTGAGCAACTGTTGTTCAGAGTCAAGCTGCCAATAGACACTTTTCATAAATGGCACCTAAATATTAATAACAATACTTTATACAGCCTAAGCCTCATGTTTGTGTTTCCAGACAGATGATTTTTCACATGAATTTGAGGCTTGGGATGTAGAATTACTACTATTCAAATAACACCGCCATTTATTAAAGTGTCCATTCAACCACAAGATGGGACTATCTTGCCCACTTAGGACTGTGTCCCACAAAATGAGTTGGTTCTTTGTGCCGTGCAATAGATCCTTTATTGACCAGACTTGTTCGCTCAAGATGGCTGGATATTGGCCTTGCACATTTTTGCATGGTTATGAACCTCAACTGTGTCTTGGTCCATCAACAAACAGAAAAGAACTTGGCCGATATCCAGCCATCTTGAGCTCATGCATGTTGGATAACCCATACATACTGCACGTGTTTTATTTACAGACAACCGATGTTCAGACAGCCAGTTTAGTCATAGTCAACTGTGTTCCTCACATCTCCAGTGAAGTTTCAAAAGATGCAAGAGTTTTATCTTGGATAGAAAAGTAAGACTAGTTTCCTCCAAAATAACTGATCAATCTGAAAAAGTAATGTTGTAAAGTCACTCAATCTTGTTTTAAAGGTACAATTCCACCTGAATGTCATGACCCCTCCCCCCCTGACTCTAAGGATTCGACAGTTATTGGTAGTGAAGCAATATGTTGTTCCAGAAAAAAATATCCATATTCCATCCACAAGGGTTTTTTTTATTTGAGATCCCCTCCCCCCATCCCTCTGCAAATTCCAGTTTCAGTTCATACTTTCTTTTAAAACTTTGGTTTTTGAGCCACTCCTCCCCCTTGGAATTTCCAATGACCCTCCTTGGGGTGGGTATGGATATTTCCTGGAACCACACAATAATGTCAGGTACTGTATGTGAATGAAGTCATATGAGTTACCTTGGTGAAATATGACAGTGGTTTTGTTTCCTTATTCTTTGTTTTTTCTTGTACAGTGGAACCTCGATTTAACGAACCTCTGTTTAACGAAATCCTCGATATAACGAACGATATTCTATGTCCCGGCCAAAGTTACAATAAAATGTATGGAATAGAACCTCAACATAACGAACCTCGATATAACGAATTCTTTGATATAACGAACATAATCCGGAAGCCCAAACGTAAAATCTACCTCGATATAACGAATTACAATGTTTCCTTGTTTACATAGACAATTTTCTGTATATCCTCTATGTTGCAACATTTTTAAATCGCTACTCTGAAAGTGTCGTTCTTTTGTAAACAAAAGCTGCACGTCTGCTCAAAAGTGAAAATAATTGATACTGAAAGCCACTCAAAACGCGGCACTTCTGGGTGACGAAAATTGCATTGAATTACGTGACAGAAGTTAACTATGACCTCGATAAAACGATCATTTTGGTCCTTTCCCCTCAAATTCATTATATTGAGGTTTTCGATATAACAAACCCTCGATGTAACGAACTAATTTGGCCGGTCCCCAGCGACTTCGTTAAATCGAGGTTCCACTGTATTGTATGACTTTGCCGGAAGAACCTTGCCATAATTCTATGTTTACTTGTCTTTTGAACAAACTCAGAAGCTAGGTATTGGAATAGTAGAAGCTACAGGAAAGACTTCTAAAAGAAACATACATGTAGAAAGTACAGTTGGACCTTGCTAATAATTAGAATTTTCCAGTAATTTCGAATTCCCCCTTATTTCGAACTCAAAATCATTTCCTCTTGATTTGCCCTCGTCAGTCAATCATTTACTATTGGCTATTTAAAACTATTTTTTGTTTCCCCAGTGACAGTTTAAAATAGCAGGTTTCAACTGTAATGCACTATTCTAGGAGCTAAGAATCAATGTCTCATCGTAATATCAAAATATTAATTTTAGTTATAGAAATTTGCTGGACATGTGGAGACTTTGGCATCAAAGGTATTTTCCATTTAGGCAAGAATATTGAATGAGCAGTTGACATTTTCTTCCTGCTATAGGACTAAACTCGCCGTAGTATGAATTAGCAAGTTCTGTTCTGACTGCTACATTTTGTTAACCAGTTACTGTAACTAGTCAACTGTGACTGCTAGTAAACCTGTGGTATTCATTTGGTAGTTTTATTTCTTCTCAACATTGTTGCTTCAATATAATTTGTTTCCAGATTGACTCTACCAAATATGGGTTAGTATTTGAAGTTTGGGAGAATGAGAAATACAATGGGAACACAAGCTGTAGCCCAGTGTTTCCACAGCATTTGAGAGCCTCCCAAACTTTCATGAGTGTCCCTGTAGCTCGATAGAAATATTACATAATTTTACATCTTGTTATGCCACATAAAATTGAGTCTATCTATATTGAAATTAAAGTTTGAACTGCCAAGCTAAATTTACCAGTTGGTTTTCATTTGCTCCCCTTACAGTTTAAGTGCTATATTGGCAGCAGGTGAATAAAAAGAAAACAAGGAAAAAGGAGAAAAGAATAACATGTAATATGTGTTTTAACATAAGGGAAAATTTGGTTTCTTTGGTGTTTTTTGATAAGTAAATAATAACCTGTATTTTTCAGGTCATTGTTTGATATCCATTATAACCAAAAGGATCCATCCCAAAAACCTCCTCAACAGGTGTTTGTATCATGTAACTTTTGTGGAAATTCTATCCTCACTAACATGCTATCAACAGGTGAGTGTTGATTTATCTGAATGTGTATCTCAATCTGTTTACATCTTCAACATCAGATATATCTTACGCCAGAATATTCCTCTTGTGAACTTGAGGACTTTATCAAGAATTTGTGCCATCATTCCAATGTATGGACATGTAGAGAAACCAAGACTGTCTGCCCAAATTTTCACTAGTTGTTGAAATGTGCAAGTTACGGTGCTGAGGTGGGGTTTGGAAAGGTATGGTATGGTTTTTCAGCCATTTTGGTCAGAGATAGCCCAAGACTTTTTGACATTTTTCTGCGAGACCCATGAAATTCGACTAAAATTTTACGAGACCCAGAGTTTTTGAAGGACCATTCACCACCCCTAAATAGGGTCTTGATTTTGGTCACAAATTGGGATGCAGGAAAAAAGTTCCAAAAATTTTAGTGATAGGCAAAGGACCCCTGAAAAGCAAAAAGAACTTTCAACTCCTTGGAACTGGGGCTCTCTGGGGGAACTCTGGGAAATAATCTGTAGCAACATAGGTTGCATTTAAAATGGTGTTGCATGATGTTATGTTGTAAAATATTAATCTTTTACAAATAAATTTTTAAAAAATAAAATAAAACAATAAAGCACTGTTTCACGTGCATACTTTGGCAGTACGTTATTAGCTGTAATATTAAAATGTAACCTTTCAAGGGATTTTGATATGGTGCTGGAACTATTTGATGGTACTTTGCTTTTAATCAGGTACAAGACCAAGAAAACTTGCACAATACTGCAACCCATCAAACAGAACAAAGGTAAAAAAGTAGGCCTTGATTGTTGTCAAAGAGTTACTGATAACATGGATTATCTACCAAAAAATTTGTGTTTTAATTTGTGTTTGATGACAAACACACCACTTTTATCATTACTTTATTACAGTTATCATTTATCTTTGTCTTGTGAGAAAGTCATTGACAATGATGCCACTCTCACAGTCAATGTGCTATGCTTTGTTGTAGATTATGGCTTGTCCTGGCTGCCGTAAACCTCTTCCTAGGTGTGCACTCTGTCTGATTCACATGGGAACACCTTCATCACTTTCACAGAAGCAATCAAATCAAGGTGACTTGCATCAGTTTCAACCGTAAGGACCTATTGTTTGACATATGTTTACTGCGCCTTTCAATAACATGTGGACTCTAAAATTCAAAGCTCAACCGACAAATGCGTTTTTCGCTACCATTAATCAAATGTTCGGCAGCTCCTGCCAGCTTCCAACTACTGCCGAACACTGTTTCATCGTCTGAACTGTGCTCAACGATTTGATTACCTCGCACGCAGCAGTAGTCAAAAAATGTATTTCTCGGTTGAGCTTTAAATTTTAGAGTTCGCATGTTATTGAAAGTCGCAGTAAGTAGCGTTTAAACTTCTGTTAATAATCAAACTTGTTGCACTTTGCCGAAACTGTGGTCTAAATTAGCTGAAGCTCATCCAGGTTGGAACAATTCAATTTAACTATCCACCTACAGATGTAATAGTAGTTTACATGGTTTTCACATGACTTGCAGAGCCTTTCACTAAAAAAAAAAATAATAAAACAGGTTTTCTCTTTCAAAAGTCCTGGAAATTCTCCTTGAATTTTATTGAAACATCCATGTCTTGAATATTTGATGCAACCTTCCATACAGTTTTGAGTATTTTGTAATTTGTGTACACCCCCTCCCTCCATCTTGACAAGCTTTTTATATGTGGTCCGGACAAACAACGGACCGTTAATATTACGTTATTGCCCATGAATAACTCAATCTCAATCCTCTAAAGTACCCTTGGGTGCATAAGGCCGTTGAATAGTCCTTGAAAAAGGTGAATGTCTAAAGTTTGTGTGACCCACCATGGTTTACAAATCAGCCATTAATGGTAGATCTAACTTAGACATTGTTAAGTATAAGTAGGGAAATGATGAAATCACTCAATTTCCTAACTGTTGCTAATGAATGTATATTTAGCAGATCCTAGCACAGAAAAGCCAGCAAATGTACGGAGTGTGAATCCTTTTAACAACTGGTTCACGTGGTGTCAATCATGTCGACATGGAGGACATTCCAATCATGTTGTGGACTGGTTTAAGTAAGTGTTCATAGTTAAACACCTTAAAGGGAATCATGGGTAAAAAGCAGTTCAACTTCCAAACAATACCATGAATAGTTCATCTTTAACTGAGGTTTTATGTTGATATCTTAGTTTGTAAGGGGTTGAATAGAAGAGTTCGGTTTTCAGTTTAAATCACTTGGGCGTTGCCATGTTTCTTTTATGGTAATTTATGATGTCATTGCATGGTCAGAGATCTCAATATGGAGTCTACAGAAGACAATTTCTCATTGGATTTGAACATATTCTCTTTTATATCCCTAGATTTACCCCAATGCTCCAACGTCCAGCCATGAATTGGTCATAATTTCCCATCAAGCTTTGCAAAACTAAACATGGCAGCACAAGGGAAATAGGAAATCCTAAAATAGCTGAAGGGAAAAAGGAAATGCCCGGAATTCAAAACAGGCAAAGAATTATCACTGAAACAATTTAGCACAAACACCAGCTTGTTATTTGGAACAAAACTGTTTTTTACCCTTATTAGCCATTTTGGAGTTATGTGGGGAACTGGGGCAAGTTTCAAATTTTAGTCATTCAATAAACTGACTCCTCCACATGAAAGATCATGTTGAGATTGGTCATTTAACCAGGTTTGATGCTTTAAATTTGAACAGAGAAAAAGTTCGTGATAGGATTCTGGAATGGCTTTTTTGTTTTCGGTCAACTCTGTTAATTGTAAGTTATATTGACCAAAAATGACTGTGTTTCTTTACATTTCCAAACACCAAGAACAGAGTTGAAAATGCAACAAACATCAGAGTATTTTTAAGAAAATTCACAATATTATGAAATCTGATGAGACTGTTCATGAGTGCTTCTTTTATATTTGCAACTTAATCTAAAATTAAGGAGTGAGTGGTGAAATCAAATCGTAAATACCGGTAATCCCTCCCAATTAAGATCATATGTCCAAACCAATATAGCTGTTATGATTTTGTGTTAATTTGAGGAACTATTGAGGAGTTTGAGGAAGATGATTGAATTGAACTTAAATTCCTTTTCAGGGAGCACGCTGAATGTCCTGTGACGGGATGTGGCTGTCACTGTATGAATTTAGATTCTGTTGCTATGGCAATGCCAAATAATGACATCAGTTCCTCGACATAACCTAGGTATTTTAACAAATTACAATGAAACAATAGTAAATATCACTGAAGATTTTGTGTTACAAACACTGTTTGCATTCCTAAAGCTTATTTGTTAAGAGGATGTTCTTGAATACAAGGTTATTTTTAAGAAAAAAAAAAATGACATTTCTACATTTAACTGTCAGTGTGTTTTTTAATCTTCACAAGTTAGTGACTTACTTAAAATATAAATCTGATTAAAAATAGAATCTACAACACTTTTTAATGTCATAATTTATTCTTAGCAAACAGGGAACTAAAAAACTGTTGGTAAATTAAGACAGCAGATAGTTTGCATTATCAATATATGCTGTCTTTTCCTGACATTATATTGTGAAATCTCAGATTCCAGGAGACTCTCCACCCTAACATTGAATGTGACCAACTTTAGTTCACAGCCATAGCCATGATTCTTATCTGCCTTAATTTTCAAATGTGAAGTCTTTTACACATAATTTATTGTTTTATAGGAAAAGTCAAAACCATAAAAATACACAAAAAGGTTTTTTGAAGTTAATTATTGGCAAAAGAACTTTTTTGGTCTATTAGCAGCCAAACGGAATCCTTTTGGGAGTTAGCTATTCTGGCTACTATGAAATCAGGCTAGCCAGAAATTCTGTTCAAATAATGACCATTGCTTTTATTAATTCAATATTGCTCTTAATTTTGAATTAGATTCAAAACTTTAATTGAATAAGCAACTGTTCAAATCTTGATGTGAAGTATATATGAAATAATTCATATTTGAACTGCGGTTGTAGATGAAAGTGAAGAATGATCATCGCAGTAAACTTTCCAATTTAAGCAATTGGAAAGAAGAAGCCTGAAAAAATCTGGGTTTCAACAGAATTTGAACTCGTGACCTCCACAATACCAGTGCGATGCTCTACCAACTGAGCTATGAAGCCACACATTGGGAGCAGAGGAGTGAAATGATGTGAAGTATATATGAAATAATTCATATTTGAACTGTGGTTCAAGATGAAAGTGAAGAATGATCATTGCAGTAAATTTTCCAATTTAATCGAATCCTGTTGAAGTCCTGATTTTTTCAGGCTTCTTCTTTCCAATTGCTTAAAATTTACTACGATGATCATTCTTCACTTTCATCTACAACCGCAGTTCAAATATGAATTATTTCATATATATTTCACATCATTTCACTCCTCACGGGAAGATATGAGCTCAATTAATTGACCTCGCTCCCAATGTGTGGCTTCATAGCTCAGTTGGTAGAG